CCGAAGGGAGCTCGTTAGCTATCTTCCTGGATACACTTTTCAGCACACAGATTTTTATTTACTGGTTTCTCCTGGTGACCAAACAGTGCTAGGTGCTATACGCTTATAAAGCACAATCCCCATTTCAAATAAAAGGTGACAAAAATGGTCAGTTAGCCTCTGGAAAGTATATTTTGCAGAGAGAGAGAAAAAAAAAGAAAGAGAGAGAGAGGGAGAGTTTTGCAATGATGAGTTCCTTCCTCCAGCAGCTATATGGACATTGTTATTTTTTGTAAAACAGGTGTAGAAAGGTTAAAGACCAAATAAGGCTCTGATTTTCAGAGGTCCAGGTATTTTATAGGGTTGAATACCTTACAGCCTCCTTCGCATGAACCTGTAAACGAGAATCTCTCCATAAAACCTTGCTTACGCTTGCAAAAATGAGATGTTTAGCTCTCCACAAGTAATAGTATTGAAAGCTTTTTCTCGACAGGGGTCAGACCCATTTTATTGTAAGTGCAGATCCATTCAAAGTGCAAAAGGATTGAGCTAACGGACATCTCAATATTACAGGGTTGTTACGCCGGCTCCAGCCTCAATGACTTGACCGAGGCTAAAGTATGAATCAGTGCCAGAAAGCAGGGCTGGAAGTCGCAGTTCCCAGCCTCGCGTTCAGAGCAGAAGATCACATTCACAAAATGAGTAAAAAATGTGGAGGGAATGCCTACCTAGGTTTGACTTCTTCACTCATCTCAGCTTGAAATGAGATTGACTCCGTGGGCTAACACTGAAGTCATTCAACCAGACAAGGTCTATCCATGACGGGCGTTTAAAGTCTCTACTGGAAAAACTTCCCCCCCTAAATGGGAATAAGAAGATGTTTCCATTATAAAATGATTGTGACGACTCAGCTGTTAGTTTTTTGCCCTCAGCCTAGAAAGCATTTCTTGCATTCTTGTCTCAGCGTCCTACCTTAGCGGCCCTTCATGTGCAGCACCATAGTAATTTATCATTACCCAGTCTCCAAATTATTCTAGTGTTGATTAAATTAGTAGATGCAATCACAATCTGAAGCGAGTTAATTGAGAGAATTTATTTGGCCCTGACAGTTTTATGCATGTTTGATTAAGTATTATAAGGTTTGTTTTTGATTTTGCATAATTTAACTTTAAATCCTGCACTGGGGGGGGCCATCAACTATTAATGACCGAAATAAACTCTTTTAAGACGCATATATTTATGATTTATTTCTAAATGTAATATCTTCCAGATTTTTTTTGTTCTGTTGCCAAAGTGACAAATATGTTTAAAGTAATATTTTGAGCCTTTCGGTTCATGCTATAAATCTTGTGAAATGTATACAATTCATTAAAAGTTTTGAAAGAAGTACAAGTTAGCATTTATATTGCAACAAGTGACATATAAATGTGTATGTTTGTCTTCGAAGCGTGCCATAAAATATATCAGCAGTAGCTGGCCGCTGTGACTAGTACTAATGGCCCGCTCTCTGGGCTGATGATAAGTTTCATCACAAATCTTCAACGCTGTCAACACAAAACTGTTCAATCAACAGGAATATGAGTTGTGTCTTTAGTAAAATTAGCACAGGAAAGAAATACAACCCGGAGCGCTGCCGGAGTGTTGTGGGCGGGTTCCCTTCGGGCTGAGCTACAAGCGCTCCTTCACAATCGTACCTCTTTGAATGTCAAAGCTTCAATTCACACCTGACCTGAGGACAGTTTATTTTTTATGAAGATACACGTTCATTTAAGCAGCAAAGGGGTCAAAATATTTCAGGCGGAAAACTGAATGGTGCCGTCTTGCTTTTTTTATCCTGACCTAAGAAACGAAAAGGGTCGGTCTCGGCACCGCTGCTGCTGCGTCGCACCCTTGCGCGCACGCGGTTAGCTTGTGGGGTCGCTCAGCGGAGCTGCCTGGGTTTTCTGGAGGCTGGGAAAGACCTTTCCCGCCCCAAGGGGCTCCTGCAGGATGCCAGGAGGCCCCCTGGGCAGCACTTGCATTCAGCAGCATCCCCATAACTCTCCAAGGCAAAGCTGGAAAACCAAAGTACCTTCATAATTTCATTTCTTGGGCTGAAATTCCCCTCTCTGGGCTGTGGCTCCAGTCCCAGGCAATGGCGGAGGAAATAAATGGAACGTGGCTCTCCTGCTTACCGTAGTCACAGAACAGATGTTCCCAGTTTCATGCTATTGGGAAAACCTATCAGCTTCGCACCTCCCCTTCTCCCTCCCACCAGAAGGTTGGTGGGAGACACAGAAACGGCGATTTGCTAGGAGTACACCACCGCTGATTACCTTGCCTAGAATTTCCCCTTGATCTACGTCCTGCACCTCAGGCCCCTGACTGCATTTGCAGAATAAAACCGCTCTGCAGGGCAGGCGCTGCCGCCCGTGACCGGGAAGGAAGCAAACCCCCGCGCGGTCAGCGAGGCAGCTGGGACGCCGGGAGGTCTTTGGCCTGGTGCCCCGGCTGCCTGTGCGGTGCGGCAGGTCCCAGCCTTGGCAGACGGCTTGAGTTATTATTATTTAATGTTTTTCCAGCGTGGTAGTGCCTAGATGGCAAGCAGGGCTGGGAGCCAGTGACAAAGTTCCGTATTCTTTCCATTATGGAAATTAACTCCTAATTAAATCTAAGGGAAAACAGCAGGGAGGAAATTTCTTTTCCTTATTTTTATGTATTGCTTTTGAATTTTCCCCCACCCGTTTGTTTTTTATAAACTTTTGGGGTCTCTGCGGCCTCTCCAGAAGCGTGGGTCTCCTACATTTGCTTTTCTGAAAGTGCTTGAGCTCCTTCGGCGGGGTGAGGCCCTGGGGCGGCGCGGTCCCTCTGCCAGCGCAGGCAGGCCGCCGCAGGCTCTGCCGGCACACGGGCTCCGAACGCGTAACGGCCCGCGCCGCCCCCGGCGCTGCGCAGGCCCCGGTCTGGGCCTGAGGC